CACAGCAGGCAGTCAGGAAATCTACCTCCACATGAGCCAAGACCATGCAGCCCATTATCTCCTCCTTGGACACCTAAGGACAACAGAGTTGAGGTCCTCCCTTTGGAGATGTTTAAGGTGACAGAAGATACTGAACTGGGGTCAGTAACTACCAACATAAACTAGCCATTTTGCCATTCTCTAAGAATTCTCCAAAAGAGACTCCACCATCTTCCTATGCCAAACCTCTAACTCTCAGGCAGAAAATGCTGTGCTAATCCCTTCTGCTCCCTTATCAAAAATCCCTATGGAGGGAGAGAGGTAGAACATCCTATGACTACAGAAGTAGTAGAACATTCTATGACTCTCCTTGTCATCCTGAGTTCCCTTCCCTATCTAAAGCCAAAGAAGACAGGAAGGCTACATGCTCATGCACCATCACTGGTATCTAATTTCACTACTGAGTTGAAGGGGTAGCACAAATGGAGAATGTACCATTTAAAATCAGAACTGCTATGTACTGAGTAATGTCTTCATGCTAGGAATCCTCACATCAGTCTCTGCAGCAGACAGCACAGGACATTTCCCCCACATCACCAATGGGGAAACTGAAGGACAGAAGCATTCAATAACTTGCCCAAGATACCCTAAGTAGCAAAGCTAGGATTTGAACCCAGGACTGGCTGAGTCAAAAGTCTAAGCTCTTTACCACTAAATTATACTACCTCTTCATTTATCTACCCATCAAACAAGTTTCCAGGCCTGATTATTTTCCTTTTAACCTTTCAGGAGCTGTGATGGAAGCTCCCAGGCCACATTCAGAATGTGATGAATGAAATACACTCTGATTACAGGAAAGGGTCAGCTATCCACTTAGACCACTGAGAGGTCAACTTCCTACCAACAAACATACATAGAAACCTTCTCAGTATACACACAGAACACCTTGATCCTGCACTGGGATCTACGAGAGACTTGTCTGACTCCACAGTGCCAGAATCTGAATCACCCCTCATCAGACCCTGAGGCCAGAACAAGCCTCTCACATACCCTCCCCTCACCACCCCTGCTTGGGGAGGGGGTGAATGTAGGCACAAACACTCTTGGGATGGAACAAGCATGACTGGAACCAGAGCTGCTTTTCCCCCAGAGCTGTGGGGCCTGAGTGTCTGTTCTACAGCATGACAAACCAGCCTTTAGGGCAGCTTCAAGAGAATTTGAGGAAGAATTTATGAGGGGTTCTTGA